ATACTGATGGCCAAAAACGGCCATCTCAGGCCAGATCTGGCTGGAAATGGCTAGATCTATTATGGCCATTTTTGGCTAGATCCTTGGTAATTATCGGCCAGATCTCACCGTCCATGGCCGTTAACGGCCAAATCCATCGATCTGATCAGAAATTGCTATAATAGATCTAGCTATTTTCAACCAGATCTAGCCTGATATGGCCTTTTTGGCCATCAATATGGCCAAAAACGACCATATCGGAGCTCCCAGCAAATCTCCATCATTTTTAGGGACTCCGGCGATGGTCCGTGGTGGTTAGCCCACTGTCGACGATAGTGGTGGTCTGTAATTTGTTTTAAATATAAGGGCATTATTGTCTAAAAACTTAATTAAACAAGGGTAAAATTGAAATGATATATTAATGTAAATTTATTTTAAAACAGGGCATTATTATCCAAAATTTGCATTAATAAGGGATAGAATTATAATAAAAATAAGATTATCAAGAGAATCTTACAATACCTAAGAAAACGGAGGTAATCAGATTATCTCTAATATTATCAACAGTAACAACTATGGATGCGTTTAGTTCGAGGAATTTTGGATTACTGAGAATGTTAGATTACTGGAATCTTTTATTATCTTAAAGATTACTGAGAATCTTTAGAAAAAATGTGTTTGGTTAATTGGTGGGTATGTTATATTAATATGTTTGGTTATGGGGTAATAAATTGGTGGGTATGTTATTTAAATTACTAAATTGCCTTTTTTTAAAATATTAATATAATATTATTTTTATTATTAATTTTTCAATAATTTTTTTAACCCCCAATATTTCAGATTTAGCTAAAATATCCATGCTTATATAAAACTTTAATTTATGACAAAATTACCCCCACCCCTGCCGCCACTGAAAACCACTACCGGAAGTCACTGAAAGTCATCGTGAGTAGCTCACCGTGACTGCGAGACTCTGATATGGCCGTTTCTGGCAATATTGATGGCCGAAACTATCATATCAGGCTAGATCTAGTCGAAAATGGCCAGATCTATTCTGCCTATTTTGCGCCAAATCGATGGAGTTGGCTAGGGGTGTTCGGTTCCGGGTACCTTGCATATTTTGAAGGAATCGGAACTGACGGTTCCTGGAAATTTGGAACTCAGTTTCGGTTCCTAGGTACCCAGAACCAAAACCTATAACAACAGTTCCAGTTCTGGTTCTGGGTACCCTGTAAAATTACAATTACCCCCCAAAAGCTTTTAAAATGGCAAAAAAACCCTCAAAACTTACAAATACCCCCCATCTGGCACTTATTAACAAAAATAAAATTACAAATTATAAATTCAAAATTACAAACTCCATTACTTTGTAAAGGTAGATTCTCAAAAGTCAAATTAACTTACTTTAAATGTTATGAAATATAAATATAAATGTATTCAAAATTACAAACTCCATTACTTTGTAAAGGTAGATTCTCAAAAGTCAATTACTTTAAATATTATGAAATATAAATATAAATTTATTCACATTACTTTTTTCTACAAAAGTTTTTATTAACCCCCTTATCTTTAATTTTATTTTATATTAGTCTTGGTTCCTAGTTCCGGTTCTAGTTCCTAACTACAGGAACCGAAACCGAAATTGCACAGTAATGGTTCCAAAAATTTGGAACCGGAACCTACCTGTTGACGGTCGGTTCCGGGTAGGAACCGGAACCAAACCCTGGGTACCCGCCGGTTCCGATTCCAACCAGTTCTTTTGAACATCCCTAGATTTGGCCATTAACGGCCGCTAAATCTCATCCAGATCTGGCCGATAATGGCCAAGGATCTGGCTGTTAAAGGCCAAATCCATCGATCTGGTGCAAAATGGCCAGAAACGGCCATATCGAAGCCTCCCAACGACTCTCGGTCATTTTTAGGACTCCGACGACTTCCCAACGATGGTCCGTGGTGGTTGGCCCATTTTTGGCGATGGTGGCTGGGTGGCGGCGGTGGTCTATAATTTGTTTTAAATATAAGGGCATTATTGTCCAAAAACTTAATTAAATAAGGGTAAAATTGAAATGATATATTAATGTAAATTAATTTTAAAACAGGGGCATTATTGTCCAACATTTTTATTAATAAGGAATAGAACTGTAACAAAAATAAGATTACCTTGGTAATCTTACAATACCTAAGAAAATTGAGATAATCAGATTACCTTCAATATTACCAACAGCAATAACTATTGATAATACAAGATTACCATAATCTTATATTACTTGACAATCAAACATGATAATCAAGTAATATAAGATAACATAACCCCATTAATCTCATATTACCTCCAAGCAAACGCCCTCTGTTGGTAATACAAAATTACCGAAATCTTATATTACTTGACAGTCAAACATAGTAATCAAGTAATATAAGATGACATAACCTCAGTAATCTTCCATTACCTCCAACCAAATGTCTCCTTTATATTATCGACAAGATCGGTCAAAAACAAGTTAACAGATTAGATCAATTAAGATTGACACAATCTTTGTTTAGAACAAATTAATCAAACCCTTCTTTTAAAAAGGTTTGAGTCTGGACACAATATATGCTAGCTTTAGACTTATTTGTTTCTCTTTTTAAGTCAGTTTGTAATAAACTAAGAAGACTTTATCAATCATTGTGTTTATTTAAATTTCTGAACTCGAAAGTCGAAACCAATGATGGTAAACGAACGCCTGCAATAATTTGAGGCTAACTTTGTCCAGAAGACTAGAACCAAACAAAAATTCCACAGAGATCGATTTCGATTTAAAAAACTAAAGGTATCACATCGGACCCTAGCCAAGACAATTAACTCAGATGGACCCATTGACAACCAAAACTATACCACCTGCCTCGTCTTAGCGTCTCCATAAAATACAGAGATTTAATATGCTTTGACTATTCAATGGGTAAAATTCAATTGAAGTCAAATTAGGTTATGATTTTTCCAATGACAAAGACGCCATGAAAATTGAAGGATTTCAATTGAACATAGGGAGACCATCTTGAATTGGTCAAGCAAAGTTGCCTATACTTTCATAGAATTCACTTAAACAACTAATTAATTATATTAATATGTATCCTTAAGACACATTCTGAAAAAGATTTTTGACGTCCAATATACTAAAATAATTCTATATAATACATCAATTTTTCTTTTTTTTTCAAATATTCTCAATACCGGAAGTCCTGAAATGAACATGAATTGAACAAGACAGTTATATAAACAAACATTAATTAAGTCATAATTGAATCATCAAACTGAGCCCAAATCTAGTAACCAATTTTGACTTTTGTGGTGTAATTTGGGTTAGAATTAGCCCAGAAATCAGAACTATTTTAATTGGTTAATGTCATTAATTGGGTTTCAGGATGAAGTGCAGGTTCTTTGAACTAGTAGCAGTAGTTATAGCTTGACTGACTCAAGACTTGAAAATTACTAGTGTCAGTATAAAAAAATAGCCTGACGGCTATGGTGTCACACTCGCTGCACAAAATAGATTAAATTTCAAATCTTTTGACTATTTCACAACTTTGCCTGACTCCATTTATGCACTTCTTCTAGTTCTTGCCCACATATCTGGCCCAGTTGAGCCCACTTTCAAGTTTCAACTCATCATATTCATTTGAATCTTTCCTAAGATTTATCTCCTCTGAATCTTTCCCGTATAATATTATCTACCTATTTTTTCAACAAGAAGTATAAAAAAAATTATAAAGATTTCTTATACAAAGTAACGTGGTAGGAGATAAATAAAAAAATAAATACAAAAAATCAAACTCATCATATTCATTTTTTTATTCATCTTCTATCACCTCACTTTGTATAAAAAAATATTTATAAATTTCTTTGTACGTCTACCACTATCCTTTTTTGAAATTAGACATGATTTATTTTCAATTCTCTAAAACCTTTAGAGATAATACATTTGGATAAACCCAAAAAATAATACTACAAGAGAATCCAAGGGATTGGCCTGGAGGTATAAGAGGTTTGCTCATTTCCTTAAGTTCTCGGATTTAAACTTTGGAGCTACTTACCCTGATAATATTGTGACTTATCTGGTTCTTTGGGTTTATAGAATATTCAATAGACCATAAAAATTAGTTGAAGTATACCCAAACTAACTGACACACTACGGTTACCCAAAAAAAAAAAAAAAAAAATTGCTACCAAGAAAAATAAAGTAATTTATTAAAATTCTAGGGTAATTTAATAGGAAAATTAAATATATATTTTTAGTGTGGTCATCAGCCTCCACTCGCCCTTTAACAGGTCTGTCTACCTTTATGATATATAATAAAAAAATAATACAATACTAAATACAAATATGACAACTTTCTATATTAATCCTACTCCTTGGGTAATGATTTAAAGCAACATGTGGATGATGAGACAGGGATGAAAATCTAATCTATCCTGGAATTGATTTTAGAGTAGGAAGGTGACGATCTCTCCCTGCCCATGGCGATCTTCGATCTTAAAATACTAATTAAACAAATCAAAATTGTTCTATTTTCATATAACAAACAAAGAATTAAAAGTGTAGAGAATATAAAAATAAACAAAAGTAGTTTCATCCATTTTTCTTTTAGAAAATCATGAATAACATGGGATGAAAAGCTACACAAAAAGGTGGAGACATTAATTGGACTAACATATTTCTTTTATTAAAAAATGCTGACTTGGAGGAGCTACGTAATCATCTCTCATGGTGACGTGGTTGCCACACGACAAGACAAGACCTCTTCTATTTAATCTCATCAATTCTATACCTAAGCAAAGCAACTAAGACATGTTCAAACATTAATAACAGCACGAAACCGGCCCCAATTTTTGTCTTAAAAAATTAACCCCAATTTTTACTAATTAATCCTCTCCTTAATTATTTATTTAATCTCTTTAATTTTCATTGACTTCCTCCCTCTTTTAATATTTCAATATTCTTAGCTTTAAAAATACAATAATAATGCCTTTATTTTCATCATCATATCAGTATCATCTTCTTCTTCTTTTTTCTCTTCTTCTTGTTCTTCTCTTTGGTTTGATTTTATCTTCATGGATTCATCGGATTTTCCCGCCAGCAAATCTCCCCGGCGAGAGCTTCAGGGTCCTCGACCAGCGCCTTTAAAAGTTCGTAAAGACTCCTACAAGATCAGGAAGCCACCAGTACCGCCGCAACAAAACCAACAACAACACCACCCACACCACCAAGCACCGCCGCGGCCTCCGGTGATAATCTACACTGTATCACCCAAGGTGATTCACACAAACCCTAGTGACTTTATGACCCTAGTTCAACGGCTCACCGGCTCTTCTTCTTCTACTTCTTCTTCCGCCGTTGCCGCCAATATGTCGTCTTCTTCATCGACATACGATCCGTTTAACGACACAAGCGGTGCAATTTCTCCTGCTGCAAGATACGCGAGCATAGAAATAGCCGCAAAGACCCCCGATAAGATGAAGAAGCAACAAGTTATTGGCCACGATCATGAAGCTAATAACATTGGCGGTTTTGTAGAAGGGATTGAGATGGATCATAATATCGAAAGATCAAGTTTTTTTCCAGGGATTTTATCTCCAGGACCCACTTCACTCCCCATGATATCACCGAGCTTCTTTTCTCCGCCGTCTGATCCAAACTCTTTCAGCAATTTCTTCCATGATTTGAGTCCAGTGCTTCACGGCAACAAGAATTTCATGGAGGGTAGTTTCATGCCAAGTCCTTCAAGCTTTCTTTCACCTCACATAACGTCTCCAACTCCATCGATAGACCTCTTCAACAATTTCTTTGACTTTTAGGTAGATAGGATTTTAAAAAAAAAAAAAAAACATTTTCTTTTGCTTTTTTTTTTTTTAGGGTAAAGATTAAAGATTAAAGAGGACTGGTTTTGGTTTGTTGTTGTATCTTCGAAATCGATGATGAAATGGAAGATGAAGGAGATAGAAAGGGACGAAAGTGGAATTTTGGAGGATATGTTTTGGTGGATTAGATTTGAAGAAAGTGCAAGTTGGAGAAATGTTAATGGGTTTGTCTTTTCATATTTTAATTTTGGTGGGTCAGATGGAGTTTGGCCGCTCAAATATAATTTTATGTAATGTTACCGTAACTCACCAGTCACCCCCTTGTTTTTTGATACCATTTTTTGTCACGTAGCTCTTAGCGTTTAATTTTATTTATAAATTAATTAATAACTTTATATTATTTTGCCCTTTCTTTATTGTTTTCTCTTTCTCCACCAAATATTATTATAATTTTGCCTATTTTGCCAAGTGAAACTTTCAATGCACCTTTCAGGTTGTTGTTTTAATTAATGTATAAATTGGGACCAGATTATGATCTACCTAGATATTCATTTTAATTATGTAACTAACATTGTATTATGTTCATCCATTTGAGATATATATTGTATATAATATGAATCTTGTATTGCATGCTTTTAATATATTATAACTTAGCAAGTTGTGGGGGTTAATTTATAGAGCTCACGAAGGATTTGATAAATTAACGTTTGAAAAAATTAGTTTTATAGCATAAGCTTAGCTCGTCAAATAGATATGATAATTCAAGCTTATTCGCAGCTTTTGTTTACTAGGCACATATTTCAATTTGGAGTTACAAATAATCAAGTTATTCTGAGGTCAATGATCCAGGCTTCGAAGTTAGCTATAACTATAGTTTATAAAATTGGAAATTTTGGGATGATCTATATAGGCTACTAGCCAAAGTAATTCCTCATAATAATAATAAGTATAAAGAATTAATTAACCGACTATCAGATATAAACAGCACTAATAAGCTGAGCACACCAAACAAAACAGAAAGAAAAAAAGTTTAAGAACATGGATTAATTCACAACTTAAACCTCTTCTTACTTTAATTAATTAGAGTCTAGATTTATATATAAATAAATATTCATTCCATTTTATAGATTTGAGAAATATTTATATAGAATACTTTAAACTTCTCATTTAACACATGTGTTGTCATATTATATGTATTTTTTTTTATTTCAACAAGTTTTTCTATGACTCATTAATAACCATCAATTCTTATTCATCAGTAACCACTGCTATGACAGATGGTTTAGAAAACTAACAGTATATCTTTATTCTATTGGACGGTCATCGCCTCATTTTACTGAAGGAACGAAAGCTATTATTTAAGTTTTTCTTGATAGAAATTGAATAAAGTCAAGAACTATCATGAAAAGTTTAAATTAATTCCTATTTATTATTACTAATTTATACCTAATATGAATTTACCTTAAGTTTTGAAAGTTCTAGTACATTGAATTTGAATTGATGTCTTCTTCACATCAAAGAGTCTTAGTAATATCATTAATTACTAAGTTTGAAGAAGTTTAATTATAATCCTAGATTCTAGAATGATCCTATTTCAATTGGTTTCATACAAACTGACGAAGTAAATCTAGCTATCATGCAAGAATTTATGAATCCCATGAATTGAATATCAAGAAATGGTCACAGCAGATAAAATCTATGAATCCTGTTGAATAGAAACTCAACACAAGAACACTCCCAAGTGGACTGCTACGATATCGTTTTTTCAATGGAAGCTTCAGCAAAAGCCAAAGATGACTTGCTTAATTTATGTCTGGAATCTGGTAAGACACAACTCTTTAGGGTTCACAAAGTCAATAAATTTTATATTTTAATAACTCCAATTATGACTTGATTAATCTTTCTTTATCTTGTTATTAATTAATTATGTTATTGTAAAAGCTAAAAGGGAGTAGTTACAAAAGAGCATGTTCAGCAAGGAAAAACCACACCATATAAATCAAATTCACATTATTATAATAATAATATCCAGTCAATAGGAAGGTGAAGCTTAATTACTTAATTGTGGTTAGCTCTTGGCAAGACTTGGTTAAAACTATATGCACCTTGAATCAAACCTAATACAAAGAAACATTTTAAGCTATATGCCTGGCGTTATAATCATCTAGATTGCGGTTATTATTATAACCAAATTAAAATATGAACAAAATGAAATTGAAGGGTGAATCTTATTCATATGGGAAAAGTCTAACGTGTAATTTTGATGTTCACATTTGTTCATAAGGATTTGAAACATTACACTAAGATAGTGATTTGTTTTATAATTGATTAATGGAATTTCCGGAGTCATCCTTAGCATCGCATTGTATCATCTGACTTTTCATGAGCTGCAAACTTGTATTCATAATGCTTTACAACTAGTTTTCCAAAGCCTCATGATGCTTAATAAAGAAAAAATAACTTATCAATTAGTTGATGATGATTCTTATGGCTGTTAAGCCTGAATTATATGCGGACATTATTTCCACCAATCAAGACCCAATAGACTTCTCTACCAATCAGCTTTCAGCATACATCTCCACCAATCATGATTCATCAAGCACAATAAGACAAAGTATAATAGCTGCCTAATCCTTAAACCGACTTAAAGAGATATTTTGTGCGATCGTCTGCCGAAATTTCATTTAATTTAAAGATATTAATTAAAGCCCTCAGCAAATCAAAATGAAGGAATATCTTCACCAAATCAAGACAATTTATAGAAACACTCATTACTTTGAGCTAAAAAGAGTATAAATAGGCAGCTCTACTCCTCAAAACAGGAACGGTTATCGATTTTACACACTTATTCTAAAGCAAAATTAGCAAAGACATGCTATTAGAAAGAGACTGATTTATCATTCTCTTAGAACACTTCAAACACCTGTAACCTTGAGAGATCGCTCTCTTTGTAATCTTCATTAGCGATCACAGAAGAAACCATAATACAATCACGGTGAACGTAGGACTAACTCATAGTGTCTAATCTAAAAATATCTTTTGTCAACTTGTTAGTTTACGCACTAACTAACAAGCACCATAAACACATCTCACAATCATCTTCATATGTAATTTCTTAGCGCTTTGCACGTGTATAATTGTTGGTGTCAAAATCAGGCATTAATATTGGTTAAGTCTGTTTATTACTTAAATAATTAGTTTAATTGATTAATTATATGGTTTTTTTTCTTTTTAATAATAATGATTGTCTAACAATTCCACATAAAATTGGATTAAAATTTATTTTCAATTTAATAACTGAAATTATGATAATTAATAGGAAAACGTGCCAATTATTTGAAAGAGTGGCTATTAAGTGCAATAACTGTTCAATTTCATCAAATTTGTTTAATGTTTAAATGAATTATGATGGTAGGTAAACTATATAATATAATTTACCAATTGAAAAATAATTCTTTAATTTTTAAATACAATAATGTTACACATACCAAGTAAAATTTGATTATCTATCAATAACTTATTTGAATTTATTTGTTAAATTTGATTATTATTATTATTAAAACTAAATGCATGAGTAATAATGATAAATAATTTTTTTAAATCAGAAAGTTTTTGTAACAAGTTCATCCTTTCCCAAACTCTCCAAGATTAACTCATTCACAAATCAAATCATGCTTGCACAACTCTATGAGTTTATTGATTGAAAGCAACCGCATTCATTGAGAGTAACCCATCTCTATTTTAAACATAAACTTTCTGAGATTAACCCATACACAAATCAATCTTGGAGAAAACCTTTTTCATTTTCTATATCATTTACGAGTTATCGTTGAAACTAACCCATCCCTATTTTAAAGGGTCAAACATAAATTTTTGAATGCACTTTATCTAATTTATTTTCCTCCTAAGTAGCTATTTTTTAGTTTTGATTTATTGTTATAGAGTATAATATACTCTCATCCGAGGTTTAGCGAAATCCCAAGTTTTCATTTATTCCAGATACCCACCATTAAAATAACACCATTTCTTTTATTTTAACATTTAAGGGCTAAATGATCTTTTTTTTTTTTTTTTTTTTGTTATAGAGTAACAACATATTTCCACCTGAGTTTTAGCGAAATCCCAAGTTTTCTTTTATCCAAATACCTACCATTAAAGTAACACCATTTCTTTTATTTTAACAGTTAGGGCTAAAATGGTCATTTTTTTCTTCTTCCCTTTCCATATCTTCCGCCTCCCCTCCCTTCTTCTTCCCCTCTCCAATCCACCCCCCACCCCCCCCCCCCCCCCCCCCCACCACAACCCAAATCACTAAAATCTTCATCAAGCCCACCATTCGACTTATAAAAAAGCCTTCTACTGTATCGAACTCGACTTGAATGACTACTCGACTTAAACTCGACTTGACTAATGTGAACCGAGTTTGAGCCAAATCGAGCCAAGCTTGAGCCACTTAGCTCGATTTTCACCCCTAGTTTGGACGATTGTGTGGTGGTTTTGGGATAGGTGGGTTAGAATGGGCTGTGGTGGTGGTTTGGAATGGGGTGCTTGGCTGGCTGCTATGGATTTGGAATGTGATGCTTGGTTGGCTATGGTGATGGTTTGGAATGAAGTGAAGACAGTTTGAATAACACTCATCAGAACCTAACAGTCACTAACTATATATGTTATTTTAAGTGCTGGATATTGGAATAAGTAAACCAAGAATATCAACTTAGGATTTCGCTAAACCTCGGGTGAGGTGAGAATATGTTGTTTACTCGTGTCATACCAGAACTAGAGAAAGAGGAAAACATCTCGGAAAACTAGTGTTAAAAAATAAAAGTTGTTTTGTTTTCTATTTAGAGCCTCTCGAAAGGCCCAAAAATCATGGGATAGAATCACATAACTGAACTTGGCTTTGCTCATACGAATGCTATTTTGTGATGTGCTTGGCTTTCATTTTCATAAAGATTGTAATTATATTTAGATGAGTCTGAGATTGACTTGTGCTTGAATTCATTCATAAAAACTCAACTGACTGGCTTGGCTCACACGAATGTTATTATGGGAGTGTTTGTCTAAACTTATAAGCTGGTCAACTAATTTATAGCTCTAAAATAAACTGATGTGTTTGTTTATAACTTTTTTGTCTTATAAGGGGAAAAAAAAAAAAAAAAAGTTGGCAGAGGTACTTTTTTTTTTTTTTGGCTTATAACACTCTGATTATAAGCTAGTTTAACTAATATATTACACACTTATCCTTTTTAATTTTAAAATTTCATAGTATACTCTTATTTAATGTAATACTTTTTTAGTCATTTTATAATAATGTACTTATAAGTCCATTTTACCAAACACGTTAATTACTTATCAGTCACTTATAAGTACTTTACCAACACTTATTACTTAAAATTTTAAATGCTTATAGCTAAATTAACTTATAAACACTTGTCGCTTATAACTAATTTTCATAAGCTCAAATAAACACCCCCTATACCCCATATAATATTAAAACCCATAAGATTATTAAAAATATTTATGTAAAGCAAAACATAGGAGGTTTTTTAATATTTCCGAAAATCAATCTTTATGCAAATCAAATCATTTACCACAGGAAGAGGAAACAAAATATTTCATTTTCCAGCCTTCCAAATCTCGTAAGAACGTGTATGCAAATCCTTCAATAACCTTCTAACAGTGATCTTCATCACCTTCTATTTCTAATGATCAGTATCTAAAAGAACCTAACCAGAGAAATGCATCCTTTTATCCCATCAAATGGCTATGCTTCAAGCATGGTCTTCTTGAATTATCAATATCAAAATATCACTTCTAACTTCTGACTAAGTTGACCTAATCATAAGGACATTCTCAGCCTACACATTTTTTAAAAACCAAAAAAATAAGGCCACTATACAGATTCATGTTAATAAGTCACTTCACAGATTGGAATGCGGATAATGTGCAGAACCAGAACCAGAACCATAACTACCACTGTGGCTCAAAGGCTAACAGGGATCTGTGGACACCATGTTATTGCGTGCACGAATTGTCTTAATGCTTGCTTTCCCCTAAATACTCCCCACAAATAGAACTTCGACTGGAACCCTACAAAAATGACCGAGTCATACAAGTAAATTATGGTTGTGCGGAAAGGACTATTAATAGATTTTTATTTTTATTTTTTTGAATAAAATGGAGCAAAAAGATATTTTCAATGAATAAGGGATATATCTACTCACTCCAGAACACGGACGGCAGAACATTAGAAGTGAAAACTAAGAGTTCTGCATTTTCAAGAACAGCTCTCATGGCAAGGTTGTGGCTGATCATGTCATCCACTAAGCTTTCATAAGCTTTTTCATCACTACAACAACGTAAAAATGCATTAAAATGACATTTGATATGGAAAACCAAAAAAGAAGCTAATGTAGCATTGTCAAACCCTCACCGATCACTCATTGGAAACAAATAAAGAGCAATATTGTCATCACTTGGCCCACTTTTATGAAAATGTTTTGGCCAGACATCAAACCTTGGAAGTAATTCCAAGCAGAGCAACTCTGGTAACCTTTTTGCCTCCTCGAACACTCTAGAAGATGCCATGGCCGACAGATGAGCCACTATACTATATTTCTCATTGCTGAGGCATAAACTTCCTCTGTCAATAAGAGAAACCAATATACTTTTTATTATCTGCATTAGATTTGAAAACATATTGAAGCCAGAAATTAAACAGATAAATATAAGTCTTACTTCCAGATTGGTTCAGATATTGGCTGTGCAGGGGCATAAACACTGTGATTGATATTTGAAGGCACAGTAGTAACTGCTAGAGAGGTTTCATGCTTAGCAGATTCTGCCTCTTCATCAGGACTGCCCTGCTCTTTTCCCTTTTGTCTCCCAGTCTTCAGAGTATTTTCATCATTCTGATTGCAATGCACTTCAGTGGTCAACTCAGCACGGGCTTTAGAACTCTGTGTTGGGATATTTAAAGAGTTACTAGTAGCTACTAGAGAGCTTTTAGATTCAATCTCTTCATCAAAACCATCCCTAACTAGTAACTTCTGTCTCCTGATATTATTATCCCCTTTATCATTCTCAACGCCACGGTATTGTAGGATATTTGTAGGGTCATTGGTTACCAATGGAGAGGTTTTAGCTTTGAATGATTCAATCTCTTCGTCAGAGCTGCTTCCATCCAATCCAATTTCTCTTTCAAGTTTATCATTAATCTTATCACCTTCACTACAATGCAACTCACAACCATGCACTAGGCAATTTTGACAGTCACCAGTAGCTGTTCCAGAGATTTTTGTTTTCACTGATTCAGACTCTTCATCAGAACTGCCAAGATCCAGTTCTCTCTGTCTTCTGAACTTTTGCTCTGTATCTTCTCCATGATTTTCACTGCAATGCACCTCAAGATGATGGTAGGGACTAATTTCAGCTCGACGAACCTGTCCTTCAGCCAATTGGCCAATAAGGTTTCTTCTCTTCAGCTTCTTCTTCTTCTTCAATTTATCTATGTCATTCTTCTTCTTCAGTGTTAAACCGGTTGCTTGTACAATTTCTAAATTTCTGGAATCATATTTCTTGGGCAGAACAGAGTTAAGATTGTCCACAGAAGGCAGTTTTCCAACCTTTCGTTCACAATCCACACAATACCAAATCACATCCTCCTCAAAAGTTACCGGTAATTGAGGTATGCAATAGCTGAAAATAAGGGGAAAAAAAAAGCAGATTTAAAAACCAATAAATATTACCGAAATTAAAAAAAAAAAATAAGTCTCAAAGATTGACCAACAGCATAGTACTACTGCAAAGAGCAGAATCTTCATCAACATGACAAAACATATGACATTTTTTTAAATTTTCAAACTAAGGAAATTGCTTGTAGAATGTCAAAAACATATGCATCCATGCATAAAGCTAAAAATATAGGGGATTCAAACAATGATGCAACTTCACTCCTTTTAATTTTGTCCACTTCTCCAATAATTCTGCTCTAAAAATGGACACTTCATCTTTGATGCTAAAATATATAGAACGCTCAATAAATGTCCATGTAGCAATCAGGTTCCAGAACTGGAATTTTTACTGAGCATATGAAGTATAAACATATATAGATGACTGACAATGCAACTCACCGATGCATAGCAGCAATCTGGCACTTATCACAATAAATCAAAGCAACGGAGACGCCTCTATCACCGCACTGTTCACAAATGGTCTTCACCTAAAACAATAAGATATTAGAATTATATGCCTTTTTATACTACATGCACTAATGTATACTAAGCAGAACCATTTCAAGACCACCCAGCCAACATTCATTGTTCCCAAATTTTGCTCCTACATGAAGGATAAGCAACTAGAAAAACTTAGAAATTTCGACAGATAATTCTCTTGAGTGCTTTACAAAAGTAGCTCTTACTCAAACAAACACTCAAAAGCAATTTCTACAAAATCACTCTCAAAGGCACCAATAGTAAACACATGATAGAAAAAGGTTAAAGCCCAGAAAGAAAAAACATTTACACTTAGAACTTTGGGTCCAAACTTTTAAAAAAGCAAAACCCTTTGCAATGCCTGAACCAAAAACACTTATCTCGATACAGAAATACTTAATATGAACCTTAAAAAAAAGATACTTAATTCCTCTTGTACTTAAAACTACACGACATCTAACCCATCAAACATTACTAAATTCACCATCAAAACCAAGCCATTTGTTAAAAGCAACCCACATTGGAAAAACTATTATATGAACAAAAAAAAAAGACACATACACACGCAACTTTCGAAAACCAAATTACCATAGTGGAGACAAAGTGAAAGAAGCTGCAGAAAATATAGCCACCATCAAGAATTCAAGAGCCGGACAAGATCAAAAACAGCGCTTCATTTCATGCAATTAAATCTGCACCAAAAATTTCCAAAAAAGAAAACAGCTTTCTTTCTTTTTTTGGTGTTCTTGTTATCGAGTAAAGACAAAAAACTCTCGAGGAGTAAAAAAAGTCACATTTGTCTCAGTTAGTTAATTCACTTTTTTCCAAAGCGTTTTTTTATTTTTTGGAAAAAGTATAAATTTAAAAATATGTCGGTGCCGGTGTGCTGGTCTTGTAACGTTACCGTAACGGTATTATACACGTCAGTTTGATGTAGATGAATAGTGTTATTCATCCACACCTATCTGACTTTTAAAGTTAGGTTGGAATAACGTTAGGACATCGTTTTAGTATTTTAAAATAAGCCACGTGCCGCACCGTCGTTATTCCTCACTTTCGCCCTCCAAAGTTCAGACTTCAGACTCTTGACTCTTTGACTTTCTCTAAAGCCCAAACCCCCAAAAAACTCTTTTGTATTCTCGTACAAAAGTGTGCGCTTGTTTTAATATTTCTCTCCTATCTAAAATCCTTATTTGTTTCCTATTTTAAAAATCAAAATTCTATTCTATTTAATTATTTTTAAACCCTTTAAATTTATTAATTTAAGTAAATACCCTTAATTAAAAAATGTTTATAATTTAATAAAAGCACCTCTATCTACTCACATATTCTTAATAGTCAATAGCCAGTCGCCGGCATTTCATGTATGGATGAAAGTGTTTTTATTAATTTTAAAACTTTTATTATATGAGGTGTTTAACTAAATTAATAAATATATGGATTAAAAAATAATATGATCAAACACATTTTCAAATTCAAACCATATCCTCGTAATAATAACCCAATTTAATTTTTTCAAAAATTACTATTCAAAACAATAAAACAAACGCTTACATCTGCGTTTGTTTCCCTATTTTGAAAATATTCTATCCCTACCTTAAAAAAAAAATGTGTCTAGTTCAATATTCTCAAAATCATATCCTATAATATTAAATTAGTTTAAACCCCCGTCGGAAGGTGGCTAGAATCTGACATAATGGCATACTATTAACTGAATCTTATCAGTAGTGCGCTGATCTGGCCATATCCATGGTGGATCTGGCTGGAAAAGGCCATAGCGGAACACGATAGGCCAGATCTGGCTAGTCGTCCGCAATGACACTAGATTCCTATCAGATTCTGACGATGGTGACCGAAATCTAGCAACTGTAGGTAGATATATGTGTTTTTGTCAATTTATAAACTTTTTATTATTAGGAGTGTTTAGCTAAATTAACAAATTTAAGAGTTTTTTTGTTAATTTTTAAATCCTATCTTGTAATAATAATCCAACTTAATTTAATAATAATTTAAAAATACTATTCAAAATAATAAAACAAACCCGTATTATTTCACCAATATTTTAGGGAATAAAGCATCAATAAAAAAAAAAAAAAAAATTAAACCAATTTCTCTGTTTTGCAATAAGTTAAGGTTTAGGATTCGCCTCATCTTCGATGTCGCATCACAGTCGTCATTTTTGCGGGAGATGACGGTTACTTCTGCCAACCGGATCACGGTGGCCGGACGGCTTAGATTATGCTGTGACGATTGGCATTTGGCAGTGTTAACTTGAGCGACTTTCAGCCTTTCAGGTAGAAGAAGAAGAAGCCGAAGGTTTAATTAAGATTCAGTGTTTAGGCTTTTTTTTCAATTGCTCATGTGGGCTTGGGCCTTAGATTTGGGCCCGTAGAATATAATGCTTTGTGCTTGTGGATCTGATTAAATGGATATATTAAAGTTATCTGTAAGCTTATTCAATAAAATTATAACATTAATGTATTTATTCAAGAAAATAATTATCGTAAACACGTTATATATATATATTAGGTTAAGATCTTTTAAACAAAAAGTTTCTACTCAAATCTTTCATTGATTATTTTAATAAAGTCATTTTTCTTTTCTTTTTCAAAATAAACCTCACATTTTAGTCCTTACATTAAATTTTATCATATTTATATCCTTATTTTTTGTTATTTGATTTTTTTTTAATTTGTATATATGTTAATTTGATTATTAATTATTAATATTTATAATTATAAATTTCAAAAATAATTATATAATTAAAAAATTAATGAAAAATTAAAAACAAAAGTTCATTACAATGCAAATATTAAACTTCAATAACTCAAAATAAATTAACACTAATTTAAAAACACTAAAATTAAAAGAAAATACAACATAAACTAGAATAACAATTTAATATTCTAGTAGAATTAGTCATAGATCTCTAAAATTATCAAAATATTAGCCTAAAGAATTAGAGGTATTTTAAGATCCTTGACTATGTTGTTGGGCTCTTTTTTGCATAATTTTTTATTGCTCATTTTGAAAAAAAAAGAACTCAAATCTTTGAATAAAATTTTGTTATCTTTCCGATATTTTGCCAATGCCAATTTTTTTCATTTGGATTTCGTAATTTTGTGCCCTATATGAGTTGTCTCGATTGAAAATTTATGCGAGCTGTCAATTTTTTTCTTTAATAGTTTCAATAATTGTCGAAACTTTTTTATTGTCTTTCCTTTTTAATTTTGCTTTCTTCACCCCTTGGGTTGTTGAGCTAATCATTTGTGGAAAGAATATACTGATTTAGATAATTAAATTACTACCAATATTAAATTTTAATTTTGTGTTGTTATTTTTATAATTTTTGTGACATTTTATATTGGATTTAATGTTTTTTTATATTAAATGCAACATTTACTTGATCTAATAAAATAAATGCTCAATTTTATTAAATTAATATAATATTCTAAGTTATTATTAATAGTTAATTTATATTATTCCCAATATTTAATTAACATATATAAAATTATTTAATGAAATAAATTAATTATTAACAATTAATAAAAAGAAGAAAACAGATTCTTTTTTGTGCAATGGGTTAGAAATGCAATAATAAAATTGTGTGCACCAATTTAATATTTATAGTTAGGGTCTTAGAGATAGTCTAAGAAAAGTAAAACGCTATTTAATATTATTTAAGGCAAGAACAAAACAAACAGTGTATCAAGAAAAGATTTTGGTGTTTTATGTTTTGCAATTGTGAAGTGATTACAAAATTTTATGAATAATGAGGAACACCTTAGTGAGACCAAATCAGATGATTTATTATAATTTTGGAAGATCAAAATCGAGGTCCAATATGAAAAGAAATTAGTTTGATTTAATAAAAGACTTTTTAGTGGGGTGGGGTTGATACACTATATGGGTCCATTCCTGCATAAAATCATATAGATACAGATTCTACAAAATAGAATATTCCAAAGCGTTTTTTTATTTTTTTGGAAAAAGTATAAATTTAAAAATATGTCCGTGCCGGTGTGCTGGTCTTGTAATTTTACCGTAACGGTATTATACACGCGAGTTTGACGTAGATGAATACTGTTATTCATCCACACCTATCTGACTTTTAAAGTTAGGTTGGAATAACGTTAGGACATCGTTTTAGTATTTTAAAATAAGCCACGCGCCGCACCGTCGATTTTCCTCACTTTCGCCCTCCAAAGTTCAGACTTCAGACTCTTGACTCTTTGACTTTCTCTAAAGCCCAAACCCCCAAAAAACTCTTTTGTATTCTTGTACGAAAGTGTGCGTTTGTTTTAATATTTCTCTCCTATCTAAAATCCCTGGTTGTTTCCTATTTTAAAAATCAAAATTCTATTCTATTTAATTATTTTTAAACTCCTTAAATTTATTAATTTAATTAAATACCCTTAACTAAAAAAAGTTTATATTTCAATAAAAGCACCCTCATCTATCCACATATTCCTGATAATCAATAGCTAGTCGCAGACATTTAATGGGTGGATGAGAATATTTTTATTAATTTTAAAACTTTTATTATAGGAGGTGTTTAACTAAATTAATAAATATATGGATTAAAAAATAATCTGATCAAACACATTTTCAAATTCAAACCATATCCTCATAATAATAACCCAACTTAACTTTTTCAAAAATTACTATTTCAAACAATAAAACAAACGCTTACATCTGCGTTTGTTTCCCTATTTTGAAAATATTTTATCCCTACCCTAAAAAAAAAAATGTGTCCCTATTTTGAAAATATTCTATCCCTACCCTGAAAAAAAATGTGTCTATTTTAATATTCTCAAAATCATATCCTATAATATTAAATTATTTAAACCCCCATAGATTTGTAAATTTAACTAAACACTCCCATATCTGCATCTTGCCGTTGGAAGGTGGCCAGAATCTGGTGTAATGACGCACTATTGACTAGATCTTGTCGATAGTGTGCCGATCTGGCCTTTTTCGACTATATCCGTGGTGGATCTGGCTGGAAAAGGCCATAGCGGAACACGATCGGCCAGATCTGGCTAGTCGTGAGCAATGACAGTAGATTCCTACCAGATTCCGACGATGGTGGTAGGAATCTAGCAACTGTGGATAGATATGGGTGTTTTTATCAATTTATAAACTTTTTATTATTAGGAGTGTTTAGCTAAATTAACAAATTTAAGAGTTTTTTTTATTAATTTTTAAATCCTACCTTATAATAATAATCTAACTTAATTTAATAATATTTTAAAAATACTACTCAAAATAATAAATCAAACCCGTATTATTTCACCAATTTTTTAGGGAATAAAGCATCAATTAAAAAAAAAAAAAAAATTAAACCAATTTCTCTGTTTTGCAATAAGTTAAGGTTTAGGATTCGCCTCATCTTCGATGTCGCATCACAGTCGCCATTTTTACGGGAGATGATGGTTTCTTCTGCCAACCGGATCACGGTGGCCGGACGGCTGAGATTATGCTGTGACGATTGGCATTTGGCAGTGTTAACTTGAGCGGCTTTCAGCCTTTCAGGTAGAAGAAGAAGAAGCCGAAGGTTTAATTAAGATTCAGTGTTTAGGCTTTTTTTTCAATTGCTCATGTGGGCTTGGGCCTTAGATTTGGGCCCGTAGAATATAATGCTTTGTGCTTGTGGATCTGGTTAAATGGATATATTAAAGTTATCTGCAAGCTTATTCAATAAAATTATAACATTAATGTATTTATTCAAGAAAATAATTATCGTAAACACGTTATATATATATTAGGTTAAGATCTTTTAAACAAAAAGTTTCTACTCAAATCTTTCATTGATTACCTTTAATAAAGTCATTTTTCTTCTCTTTTTCAAAATAAACCTTACATTTTAGTCCTTACATTAAATTTTATCATATTTATATCCTTATTTTTTGTTATTTGATTTTTTTTAATTTGTATATATGTTAATTTGATTATTAATTATTAATATTTATAATTATAAATTTTAAAAATAATTCGATAATTAAAAAATTAATGAAAAATTAAAAACAAAAGTTCATTACAATACAAATATTAAACTTCAATAACTCAAAATAAATTAACACTAAATTAAAAACACTAAAATTAAAAGAAAATACAACATAAACTAGAATAACAATTTAATATTCTGGTAGAATTAGTCCTAGATCTCTAAAATTATCAAAATATTGGCCTAAAGAATTAGAGGTATTTTAAAATCCTTGACTATGTTGTTACTCTTTTTTGCATAATTTTTTATTGCTCATTTTGAAAAAAAACTCAAATCTTTGAATAAAATTTTATTATCTTTCCGATATTCTGCCAATGCCAATTTTTTTCATTTGGATTTCGTAATTTTGTGCCTTATATGAGCTGCCCCGATTGAAAATTTATGCGAGCTGTCGATTTTTTTCTTTAATAGTTTCAATAATTGTCGAAACTTTTTCATCGTCTTTCCTTTTTAATTTTGCTTTCTTCACCCTATGGGTTGTTGAGCTAATCATTTGTGAAAAGAATATACTGATTTAGAAAATTAAATTTTACTTTTGTGTTGTTATTTTTATATTTTTTGTGACATTTTATATTGGATTTAATTTTTTTTTATATTAAATGCAACGTTTACTTGATCTAATAAATGGTTAATTTTATTAAATTAATATAATATTCTAAGTTATTATTAATAGTTAATTTATATTATTCTCAATATTTAATTAACATATATAAAATTATTTAATGAAATAAATTAATTATTAACAATTAATAAAAAGAAGAAAACAGATTCTTTTTTGTGCAATGGGTTAGAAATACAATAATAAAATTGTGTGCACCAATTTAATATTTATAGTTAGGGTCTTAGAGATAGTCTAAGAAAAGTAAAACGCTATTTAATATTATTTAAGGCAAGAACAAAACAAACAGTGTATCAAGAAAAGATTTTGGTGTTTTATGTTTTGCAATTGTGAAGTGATTACAAAATTTTATGAATAATGAGGAACACCTTAGTGAGACCAAATCAGATGATTTATTATAATTTTGGAAGATCAAAATCGAGGTCCAATATGAAAAGAAATTAGTTTGATTTAATAAAAGACTTTTTAGTGGGGTGGGGTTGATACACTATATGGGTCCATTCCTGCATAAAATCATATAGATACAGATTCTACAAAATAATTCTTCTACAAAAAAAAAAAAAAAAAAAACACTCTTTCAAACTAAAACCCTAAAACATTCAAAATAAAAATACACATCTCCCACTGCATGTGTTGACACCATGGGCTTGGTACCCTATCGCAAGTTAAGCTTCCCTTCGTTCTAATTTCTGGTCTCTTGGAACCCCTAGAAAGAATTGCAAGCAAAATTACTGACATCAGAATCTACAATCCAAGAATCTCTCACAAAACATCACACCTTGAAAACTACATTACCTTTATCAGACTTCTTTTGAGCTAGGTAAACTTGGCAATTCCTCTTCCAATGGCCCAACACTCCACAATGAAAGCATTTACCTTTCGGTTTGGCTTCTTTCTTGGTGTTCTTCTTCCAAGGGGCAAGATTTTCCTTCTTACCCTTCTGCCTTTTCCGTTTGACTTTCTTAAAGGACTTGGGAGCATAACCCAAAAAAGCAGCCTCAACTATGTTAGATTCATCATGCTTTTCCTTAAGAAGAATTTTCTTAGCTACTTGGAGGTCATTCATCAACCCAGTCGAGTTATATTCCTTCTTATTCAATTCATAATTGATTTTGAATTGAGCAAAGGAATCAGGTAATGCATTCATAATCATGTCCATCTGGGTTTGATGATCAATCTTAGCTTCAATGACCTCTGTCCTGGCTTGCCTACCCTGCTCATAAAACATCTCATGTAAGCAAAGGATTACATTGGCAGCAGTCACCATGTTTCTATGTTGTTAATGCAACACTTCATTCATGAAAGCCAAGATGCAGCACTTTGCCAATTCATTAGCATTCTCCCATACAGGTTGATCAACATTTAAAACCCAATTTATTTATCATATTGGAGCACTATCTCTAAGTTACGTCTCCATACAAATTCTTTCCATTTAGTTGGCTTTGGTTAATAATGGAAGATAAATGATTAAAGGTCAGTTTGTATAATAATCAAAATATCAATGTCTTATAAAACTTTAGAATGTTAATAAATTATGCATGTATGCAATATGCATACATTATTACCCAAAATAGTCTACACTTCGTTCAATGATAACCTAACCAATAAAGGATAAAACTTCTTGGAGAGGTCATACCATTTACCTAGTTGGACTAGAACTCTTCTAAATATTACTATGACCAATTATTCCATACTCCACAATAATAATCATCTATGTATTTGGTTCTCTCAAATTAAAACTACTCTTGAAGAAATTAATTGTAAACTACAGTTGAGTGTTTCGATTATCTTTCTATTTATATATTACCCCTTAAAAGTCAACCTTTGAACCTCAATCCAAAAAGATGAATATTTTAGAGAACAATTATTGTAACCCTTTGTAGGAAGCAAAACACAAACGGCCATGGCAAGACATACAATAACCTTGGCCAAGACATACAATAACCTATCTAAATGGACCACCAATGGTGATCTGGTCTTTCATAAAGACCTCCCGCTCATTCGTTTAAAATTTTGGGATTTTTAATTATAATGTGATTTTACCATGTTTTATCTGAATTCTTTAGAATAAAACTAAAATCATAAAGTATGTCTGCATGTATATGTTATAATGCATATTTGCACTCCTTATTCTATATGGCATGTTATAATCATTCAAGACAATACTGTAATTTAAACATTTAAATTAAAAATTGAATGTATTACTCCCGAGTATCACTAAAAGACACTTACCCCTCTTGAGTATCTGAAATTACAATTTACCTTATATTATCAATGTTCCATTAGGGTTTTTTTTTCATTGATTAACTCATTTACACTTGATCTATTTAATTAAATACAAAACCCTAACGAAATAATGACAAAATAAAGTAAATTGTTACTTCGGATACCTGAATAAAATTTTTATTCAATGATACCTCAAGGAGGAAATTATACTTGAGCTCTTACATTATTAATATAACTATCACTATGGCCTATCCTATAATTAGTAGCTCCAACTTCATTTTTGTGCTTGTTACGAGTCCCATTCAATAATCTTCTTATTAAAATTAAAAAAAAAAAAAAAAACAATTTTTCCTTGATTCAAATTGAAAAGTCAAAAAACTCTGAAACTCTTAGGAATCTTAATTTAATCAAAACTCTTTAACTCTGAAACCTTTCCAAAATTAATTTTCAGAAAATGTAATTTTTAATTTCTTAAAATTTTAATCAAATTAAAAAAGAGAAATAACAAAAGTACTATCTCACCTGCAGGGAATTCGAAAACAACAGCTCAAGTTGACCACATGGACTAATTTCACCTTGACGAACCTCTGCTTTAGCCAAGAGCCAATACAGTCTATGCTCTGCAGCTTCTTTCCACTCTATTGATGCCATTCTTCTCACTGTGGCTCAAAGGACTAACAGGGCTCTGTGGGTACCACGTTATTGCATGCGCGAATTCTGTTGCCTGTACACGTGACGCTTGCTTTCCCCTAAACACTCCCCACAATAAAACTACTCGACTCAAACCCTACAAAAGTTAATGAGCAACACAAATAAATAAGATTGTGCAAAAAGGATGATTAATAGTATATTTTCTTTCTTTCCTTTCCTTTTTTTAATTAAGTTGAATAAAATGGAGCAAACTGATATTTTCAATGAATAAGGATATTTCTACTCACTCCAAAACTGGAACGGCAGAACATTAGAGTGAAAACTAGGAGTTCTGCATTTTCAAGAACGGATCTCATGGCAAGGTTATGGCTGACCATGTCATCCACTAAGCTATTATAAACTTTTCCATCCCTGCAACATAAAATACATTATAATGACATCTGATTGGAAAACCAAACCCAAAGCTAATGTAGCATTGTCAAAGCCTCACCTGTCTTGTTTGGAAACAAATAAGAGCAATATTGTCATCACTTGGCCCTCGTTTGTTAATATTTGGCCACCAGCAGACCTTGGAAGATTATCCAGGCACAGCAACTCTGAAACCTTTTTGCCTCCTCAAACACCCTAGAAGATGCCATGGTAGACAAATGACCGCAAGTCCTCCAACAGTACCATATTTCTCATTGCTGAGGTACAAACTTCCACTGTCAATGACAGAAACCAGCTTACATGTTACTATCTGCATCGATTTTAAAACATAATGAAGCATAAATAAACAAATAAATAAGCCTTACTTCCAGATTGGTTGGAATTTGGCTGTGCAGGGACATAAATACTGTGTTGATATTTGAGGAACACTAGTAACTACTAGAGGTTTCATGTTTAGCAGATTCAGCCCTCTCATTAGGGCTCCTGCTCTATTCCTTTTGTCTTCCCTCCTCTGAGCATTTCATCATTCTGATTGCATGCACTTTAGTGGTCGACTCAGCACGCGCATTAAACTCTGTTTGGATATTAAAGAGTTATTAGCAGCTACTAGAGAGCTTTTAGGTTCGACAGATTCCATTTCTTCTCATCGTGCCATCCCTAACTAGCACCTTCTGTCTTTTAAAATTATTATCCCCTTTATCATTCTCACTACAATGAACCTTGATAATTGGCCATTTATGTCATAACAACGGTGTTGTAGGATATCTGTAGGGTCATTGGTTACCAGCGGAGAGGTTTATCTTTGACTATGACAATCTCTTTATCAGAGCTACTCCGATCCAATTCAATTCGTCTTCAAGTTTTCATTGTTCTTGTCACCTTCACTGCAATGCAACTCGAACTGTGCTCTAGGTTATTTTTAGAGTCCCAATAGCTGTTACAGAGGTTTTGTTTTCACTGATTCAGCCTCTTCACTAGAGCTGCTCCCATCCAATTCAATTTGTCTTCAAGTTTTTCATTGTTCTCGTCACCTTCACTGCAATGCAACTCAGAACTGTGCTCTAGGTTATTTTAGAGTCACCAATAGCTGTTCAGAGGGTTTTGTTTTTACTGATTCACATCTTCACTAGAGCTGCTACCATCCAATCAATTTGTCTTTCAAGTTTTTCATTGTTCTTGTCACCTTCACTGCAATGCAACTCAGAACAGTGCTCTAGGTTATTTTTAGAGTCACCAATAGCTGTTACAGAGGTTTTGTTTTCACTGACTCAGCCTCTTCACTAGAGTTGCTCCCACCCAATTCCCTTTGTCTTCTAAACTCTCATCTTTATTTTTTTCATGATTCTCATTGCAATGCAGCTCAAGATGACTGCAGGGACTAATTTCTCCTTGACAAACCTCTGCTTTTCCAATGAGTCAATGCAGTCTCTTCTCTTCAGCTTCTTCTTCTTCTTCTTCTCAATCTATTAATGTCATTCTTCTTAGATTGGGTTCCTGACAATTTCTAAATTTCTGGAATCACAATTCCGAGCCAGAAGAGAGTTAGGGTTGTCTTAGAAGACAGTTTTGCAACCTTTTTTTCACAATCCACACAATACCAAATCCTTCCTCCTCAAAATCTCTGGCATTACAGCTAAGCAATAGCTGGAAAATGAGGAAACAAATATTACAAAACAAAAGAAAAGCATCAAAGGTTGAGCAAATGAAGGAATCTTCAGCCAACATAACAAAACACAGAACATTTTCTTTAAAAACTTTCGACCAAAAGAAATTGCATCGGACATTAAAGTACATATGACCATGCATACGGTTAAATATACTGATTCAGCCACGATGCACAACAATCTTCTCGTTAAGTCCACTCCTGTAACAACTCCACTTCAAAAAAATAAATTTCATCTTTTTATCTAAGTATAAAATCCTAATAAACATCCATGCAGCATCCTAGCACCATCATGGAAGTTCTAGTGACCATATGAGAATAAAGATACATAAATTAAAAACATTGCAACTTACCGATGCACAGCAGCAATCTGACACTCGTCACAGTAAATTAAAGCCACAGAGATCCTCGACTCCGCACTGCTCACAAATCGTCTAACCTAAAATAAAAAACAGAATAAAAACCTTTTTTTTTTTTTTTTTTTTTTTTCCTATATGCATTCGATATTACTCAGCAGAACTACTTCAAATCCACCAAGCACAACTCATTGACCCCAATTTTGCTCCTTCACGAAAAGGATAGGCAACTAGAAAAACTTAGAAATTTCTACAAATAATTCTCTTGAGTGCTTTACAAAACCACTCACAAGGGCACCAATAGCAACCCCACAATAGAAAAAAACACTTACACTTTGAACTCCAGGTCCAAAGTTTCAGAAAATCAAAACCTTCTGCAATGCCTGAATCAAAATAACTTATCTCGCCAGGCAAATACTTATTATTAACCTTAAAACGATCCTCAATTCCTCTTAGTACTTAAGACTACACACTGTTCCCCCAAATCTAACCCATCAACATTACTAAGTCCAAACATCAAAAACGACCCATTCATCAAAAGCAAGTAAGCAACCCACATCTAAAACACAATTAAATAAAAAAAAATACAACTTTTCGAAAAACAAAAACTTACCATGGTGGAGATGAAGTAAAACTATCGCCCACCATAAAAAGAAAAGAACTTGACGAGAAATTAAAACCAAAAACGACAGTTCAGAACCCAGACAAGATCAAAATCCCAGTTTCAATTCACACTAAATCTGCACCAAAAATTTTCAAGTAAAACATAAGACTTTTATAGTGTTAGTGTAATCCGAAATGCAAAAGCAGAGGTCTGCAAAAAAATTCAAATAAAACGTAGGCTTTTTACTGATTTTGTGGAATCCGAAACGCAAAAGGAGAGGAGTCTCGCTTGTGGAAGAAATCTAGAAGAAGAAAAGGGTTATACGGGCTTTGGGCTTTAGAGAAAATTAAGATTTGAACGGCGAAGCGAGGAATAAAGGCGGTGAGGCGCGTGGGTTTTATTAGTGGGTTAATTAACTGATTAAGAGAAGATAAATATTTGCCATTACAAATTTTATGAATATAATACTATATTATTATTATATAAATTATGTAAAAATTAGAATATGATATATATTTATGAGTTAATGACTTTAATCCTCTTAGGTATAGTATAATAACAAAAAAAAAATTAATTTTTTGAAATAACGAAAATTCTCTCGCCATTAATTATTATACTACCGTTCTTCAAAGCTCTCATGTCATTTTCACCCACATACTAATTATTATATTCATTTAAAAATTATTACTACAATTAATAACTATAATTCAAGAGAAAACACATATTTCTGTCAAAAGAGTAATGTTATGCTTACTCACGATATTACTAACCATCTTACTATCATTTGTAAATATAAAGTATAGTACGGGTACCATACGTATAGTACGAGTATCATATTTAATTTTAACAAAGATAGTAAAGTGGTTAGTAAACTCATGAGTAAGCATAGCATTATTGCTGTGAGAAAAATAAGTTCATACATGGGTATCAATCTCTTGAATAATTTCTTCTTTGATCCTGCTTTGAGTTTTTAGTTAAAAGTTTCAAGAGTAAAACAGGAAAGATTCAGTGACAACTTTCGAACTGAAAATATTGTTAAAAATTTTCTGAATAATAATATCCATCAGCCTCTCTTATATAGAGAGTTAGATTAGGATTTCAAAACAAATTAAATGGGAGTTGTTACAAAGTCAAAAAAGGAAAAAGTAAAAGTAAACATAAAGAAAATGCGGTCCAATTAAAATTTACCATACAAAAGAAAGAAAATGACATTGGGGTCTACATGTCTCCCATGTGCCTTACAAAATTATTATATTACAATATAAAGTGACGATGACATGGTATTCAATGCCTCCTTTAAATCTTATCCGTTGAAGAGTGTCGCAATATCTTGAACGTCCATGTGTCACATTTTCACTGTTTGATATACGCTAGTGTTAACGTAATGGTCTTTTACGGTTGACCATATCTATATCCTTTTTGGGTTTTAAGATGTTTTGGGTCTTGGTAACTCCATAACATCAATAAAGTCTGCAAAAGTACCATCACTAGGCCTCTTGGTCATGAGTTAAGACATGCTTTAGAAGATTGATTGATTCTTCCATTAAGGTCTATTGAGATAAATGAGCTATATTGAACATTTCCAATAGTTTCTCCAATTGGGCCTTATTATGCTTGAAAAGTGTGTCTTGGATTTTTGCACACTTGTCTGGTATCATAACAACTATTCCATTGTGGATATGGATAGTAGCATCCGCTTTAATAAGCTCGTCCAGTTTGGACTTAACTAGTAAGAGTTTCACAGTATCAAGTCTGTTCAATCCTCCTCTTCTTTATTGTAGAGTTTTTCTAGCGCATAAGAACTCATTTGTACCTTGCTATCGACCATAACTTGTACCATGGTTCACCAAATAGAAACTCTTATATCTGTACAGGTTGTACATTAAAGCTCTCTTGCAATGAGGAACTGGTATAGGTGTTTATTCTCCAATCCAAAACACAGAGCGTCTGTTTGACCGCATTTGGCATAAGTCCACTATTGGTTCTTGTAAGTCAATTTCCATTGCATCAATCCATCCTCTAGATAAAAGGTTGCTGCAAAACCCTTTCCTAAAGGTTTCCATAGAACGTACAATTCCATATCTCTATTAGAATAAACTGCTAAACCTTGGACCAAATCTGTCAAGTCATTTTTTCTAATTTTATAATTAGATTATTCAGATTATCGAGTTTGAGAATAGTCATTTCGAACAAATGACATTTACTTATTACCTCAATTTTATGAATCATCGTTTCACGAATTAACGTTGTTCCTCTAAATTCTTCATCTTCTTAAAACAACTTATCAACGTCTAGCCAAGCTAATCTTCTTGCTAGTTTTTCAAAATAACTATGGAGCTCAACTTACCCTTGACCT